TCTGTCAAAAAATAATAGTGTGGAGGTTCCTTAAAAATTTAAAAATAGAGGTACCCTATGACCCAGCAATTGCACTACTGGGTATTTGCCCCAAAGACACAGATGTAGTGAAAAGAAGGGCCATGTGCACCCCAATGTTCATAGCAGCAATGTCCGCAATAGCCAAACTGTGGAAAGAGCCGAGATGCCCTTCAACAGATGAATGGATAAAGAAGATGTGGTCCATATATACAATGGAATATTACTCAGCCATCAGAAAGGATGAATACCCACCTTTTACATCAACATCGATGGGGCTGGAGAAGATTATGCTAAGTGAAGTAAGTCAAGCAGAGAAAGTCAATTATCACATGGTTTCACTTATTTGTGGAACATAAGGAATAACATGGAGGACATTAGGAGAAGGAAGGGAAAAATGGGGGGGGGGATTGGATGAGAGATGAACCATGAAAGACTATGGACCTGAGAAACACACAGGGTTTTAGAGGGGGGTTGCGGGGATGGGTGAGCCCAGTGATGGGTATTAAGGAGGGCACGTACTGCATGGAGCACTGGGTGTTATACGAAAACAATGGACCGTGGATCTCTACATCAAAAAGTAATGATGTATTGTATGGTGACTAACATAACATAATAAAATTTAAAAAAAAAAAGAAAAAGAAATAAATAAATTCTTTAAAAAAAAAATCCTGATGAAGCTAGAGTGTATTATGCTAAGCAAAATAAGTGAGTCAGAGAAAGACGAATACCATGTGATTTCACTCCTATGGATTTAAGAAACAAAACAGATCAACAAATGGGAGGGGGGATACAAAGAACGGAGAGGGAAACAAAGTGTAAGAAACTCTTGATGCTGGAAAACAGAGATTTGACAGAGGGGAGGTGTTTGGGGGATGGTCTAGCTGGGTGATGGGATTAAGGAGGGCACTGTTATGATGAGTAGTAGGGGTTGTAAGCAAGTCATGAATCACGGAATTCTCCTGAAACCAATATTGCTAAGTAAGTAGAATATAAATAATCATTTTAAAAGAAAAAAAAAATTCAAAAGGACAATACCTTTACAAGCAATGCCTGTATTTACTGAATAAAAAATGTATTAAGTGGACCACACAATTCAAACCGACGATGGACAACGGTCAACTATACTACTGGAAATCCCAGCCAGAGCAATTACACAAGAAAAATAAAGAAATAAAATACATCCAAATTGGAAAGGAAGAAGTAAAGGTCACTATATTCAAATGACATTTTATATGTAAAAAAACCCCTAAAAACAACATGAAAAAAACTATTAAACAGATTCAATAAAGTTGCAGGATAAAAAGTACATAAAAATATGTTCCATTTTTATATACTAATAATGAACAGGAAAATAAATTTTAAAAATCATATTTAAAATTGCATCAAAAAAAACCAAAAAACACTTAAAGATAAATTTAACCAAGGAGGTGAAAGCCTATATACTGAAAACTGTAAGACACTAAGGAAAGAAACGGAAGACAACACAAGTAAATCGACATTCCATGCTCATGGATTAGAAGAATTAAGTGTTAAAATGTCTATACTACCCAAAACCGTCTAGAGATTGAATGCAATTCTTAACCAAAATTCGAAACACGTTTTATAGACATAAGGCAAAGAATCTTTAAAATTTGTATGGAGGGGCGCCTGGGTGGCTCAGTTGGTTAAGCGACTGCCTTCGGCTTAGGTCATGATCCCAGAGTCCCGGGATCGAGTCCCAAGTCAGGCTCCCTGCTCAGCAGGGAGTCTGCTTCTCCCTCTGACCCTCCACCCTCTCATGCTCTCTATCTCATTCTCTCTCTCAAATAAATAAATAAATAAATCTTTAAAAAAAAAAAAAAAGATTAGTATCCAGTACATATAAAGCACTCCTACACTCAATAACTACAGCAAAAAACAAAGTGGTTAAAAAGTGGGAGGGTTATCCAAATGGACATTATCCAGAGAACACATCCAGAGAGCCAACAGGGACATGAAAAGATGCTCAACATCATGAATCATCAGGGAAATGCAAATCAAAACAATGGGATAGCACCTCACACTGGTTAGAAAATTTAGTATCAAAAAGATGAGAAATAACATATGTTAGCAAGGATGTGGCCGAAAGGGAACCCCAGTGAGCTGTTGGTGGGAACGTAGGTAGGTGCATCCACTGTGGAAAAGAGTATGCAGGCTCCTCAAAACATTAAAACTAGAACGAGCCTACAATCCAGCAATTTTTCTCCTGGCCATTTAGCCAAAGAAAACAAAAACACCCATTTGAAAAGATATCTGAACCCCCATGTTCACTGCAGCATTATTCGTAACAGCTAAGATAGGAGGACAACCTACATGTCCACGGAGGGATGAATCGATAAGGAAGATGTGGTGTATGTAGACACTGCAATACTCTTTAGCCATAACAAAAAACGAAATCGTTCTTTTTACAACAACATGGATGGACCCTGAGGGCACGATGCTAACTGAAAGAAGTCAGATACAAATACTCTAAGACAACACTTTTATATGGAATCTAAAACCACCAAAAAACTGAGCTTAAAGATACAGCAGTCTGATTGGTGGTTGACAGGCACGGGGATGGGTGTGAAATGGGTGACAGGGGTCAAAGGTTCAAACTTACAGGTATAAAGTCAGTCAGTCACAGGATGTAACGTACAACATGGCGGCTATAGTTAATAACACTGTATTACAAGCTTCGAAGTTGTAAAGAAAGTGATCTTACAAGTTATCCTAAGGAAAAGGTCTTGTAAAACACTCCAAGACAAAACTGGATTTAAACAGGTAAGCCATACACCATTGTTCAGGGGACTCAGAAAGTGCAGGGACCTGCCCAAATCTGTGCGGGAAACTGCCCTCCTGTTCCTCACAGAGACTAAAGGAGAGCTTTGTACACTGGTGAGTGCGTGCACAGAACAGCATGTAAAGTGCTGGGCTCCTCTCTACCCAGAGCACTGGGCACTGCATCCCGCTTAGGGGTACAGGAAGAAGCAGGGAGTTCCTGGGAGATACTGAAGAAGTTGAGGAAGAACAATGCAGGGTGTATGGAAAATGCCTTACCAGTTTTCCAAATCCCTGGGCATGTTCCATCGTGTAGGTGTCTTTTGAGATGCTACCAAAGGTCGCCGCTGCTGTCTACTCGGGCTCTTGCGGCTGGGCAGCCAACTTCTTTAACTCACTGGCAACCTCTGAGTCATCACTGTCTCTTGACCATCATTCTAGGGGGAGAGGAGCACATAAAATGGGTCTCATTTCTCTCAGTTGGGATGGTCTGTCAGCTCTTGATCTGAATCACTAACCACCGCCGTTACATCTGTGCCCATAAAGCACTGCGAGTGAATAAAGACTACGACGGTAACAGAAATAGAGAATACTTATCCCTCTGTATTCCTCTGGGTTAGGCCCTATTCTAAGCTGTAAGGTGCAGAGTCAAGCAGAGAGGCAGGAGGGTTTCGGATACGCCCCACTCATGGAGAGGTTGGAAGCACAGGTTTTGGAGCTGCAAAGACAAGGGCTTGAAATCTGGTTCCAAGCACTATCTGCCTCTCTAAGACTCAGAGGCCTATCAGGATCCTAGCCCATGGAGATGTGCAAACTGATAAAGGGTGTAGAATGCTTAGCCAGTGCCAGGCACAGAGCAGCTCCTCAATTAACTCACGATGATAATCATGAGGATGGCAATCACGGTGTTCCTTCCCCAGTGCTAGCAATAACAATAACTAATACTTCTGTGATATTAATCCCAAAGACTCGTACTGCACTTATCTCGTGCCAGGAACCATGATTTACATTGACTTTGGAAATGGGTTCTGTGTACTACTTCACTAAATCCCCAAAACAAGCCTATATAGGTCCTCTTTGGAGGCCCATCTCTCAGATGAGAATTCTGAGGCCTGGCCATTACCTATCTTGCTCAAGGTCACACAGCTGGAAGTGGAATAAGAGGAATGACAACCTGGACTCTGAACCAGTCTAGAGGAAACCCATTACCTACATTAAATCTGCACCATAACCCTAAGGTTTTGCTGTTCTGCCCACTTTACAGATGGAGAGACTGAAGCTCAAGCCCAGGGCAGAGGCCGAACTCACCTGGCCTCCCCAATGGGAGGAAGCAGGACTTGGCACTCCGCCTCAGGCTTGGCCTCTGGGTCCTGGGTGGCCCCCTGTGTCCCCTGCAGATACCAGGTTGAGGGGCACCTCTTCCTCGGAACCGCAGCATGCTAGGGTTCCAAGGACGCCGCTGCCCCCGGCTCCCTCTGCTCCCAGCCATACCTCCACTGCCCCCAGCTACCGCCAGTGCCCCCAGCTACCGCCACTGACACCCGCTGCCCATCGCAGATGCTGCTGCTGACCGCCGACACGGCTGGCCCACTCTGCCGCCCTCTGCCGCCTGCTGCTTGCTGGCGCTGGCTGCCCAGCGCTGACCCTGCCCCTACTGCCACCGGGCCGCTGCCCCCACCAGCTGCTGCCAGTTACCGCTGCCTACCGCCCCAGCCACCTGCCCGCCACCGCTTCCTGCCGCTGCCGCCTGCCACCCTTGCCTGTATCCCCTTGCCTCCGCCTGCCTGCCCACACCCCCTGATGCCGTTTACCGCTGTCTACCGCCGCCACCTGCAGCCTGCCACCTGCCACCTCCTCTGCTGCCACCAGCCTCCGCTGCCTAAACTCGACGATGCCTGCCAACGCTGCCAATCTACCGCCGCCACCCCCTGCAGCCCGCTTGCCTCCACTGCCTGTGGCCACTGCCGCCTGCTGCCCTCACTGCCTGCCCTCACTGTGGCCCGCCTCCCCCTGCCACCTGCCCCCGCCTGCTGCCGCTTTCTGCCACCCCTTATGGCTGGCTAGGATTATCAGCCGCCGCTTCCTGCCTGGCCCCTGCTGCCTGCAGCCCGCCACGGCCTGCTGCTGCTTACCTACCACCGCCGCCTACCCCCGCCTGCTGCCACTTACCACTACCCGCCACGGCAGCCCACCGCCACCACATGCCTACCGCTGCCGCCTACCTAACGCTGCTGCCTGGCCCTGCCGCCTGCCGCCGCTTCCTCCCGCCGCTTACCACTGCCTGCCACCGTCTGCCACCTCTTGCCGTCGCCGCCCACTGCCTGCCCCTAGTCGGGGCCTGCCAGCCGCCACCACCTGGCCCCACCACCTGCCCGCCGCCGCTTCCTGCCGCCACCACCTGTTGCCACCTGCGGCTACTGCGTACCCCCAATGCTGCAGTCTGCCTGCAACTGCCTGCCACCTGCCTGCCGCAGCCTGCCTGCCCCCGCCCCCTGCCGACGCCGCCGCCTGCTACCTCCTTCCACCGCCCGCCGCCCTTGCCTGCCTGCCGCCGCCGCCTGCCTGCCTGCCGCTTCTTTCCACAGCCTGCCACCGCTTCCTGCCGCCGCCTGCAATCGCCTACCGCCGCCGCCCACCACACTTGCCTGCCGCTACCTGCCTCCCTGCCCCCACCGCTTACTGCCGCGCCCTGCCTCCACTGCCTCCACCGCCTCCAGCTGCCACATACTGACCCCCACTAACCCGGCACCTACCGCTGCTGCCGCCCGCTGCTGATACTCCTGCTGCTGCTTCTGCTGCCCGGAGCTTCCGCTGCTGCACAACGCTGAAGCCACATGACGCCAGCACTACTCCTGACGCCGCGGACGCCGCGGACGCGGCTAACGCCACTGACGCCGCCGCGTAACCCGCAGATGCCCGCCGGCGTTCCCGCGCCCCTCCCCACGCTGACCCACGCTGCCAACGCTGACCCGCCTGCTGCTGACCGCGCCCCTATCGCGGAGCCTGCTTCCGCCACCGGTGACTCCGGCTGAAGCCAATGGCACCTGCTGTTGAGGCTGCCACACACCGCCGCCCAATGACCTGGGGCTGCCCAAAGCGGGCGCCCCTGTAGCCCTTGCCGCCCCTGCAGCCGCTGCAGCCGCAGACGCCACCCGCTGCTGCTGTCACCGCTGCCACCTCTGCTACTGCCTGCTGCCGCCTGCCACCGCCTGCCACCGCCTGCCTGCCGCTGCCTGCCACCGCTGCCCACCACTGCTGCCACCGCCACCTGCCACCGCCTTGCTGCTGCCGCCACCAGTCAGTACTACCACTGCCGTCTGGCACTGCCGCCCCTGCTGCCACTTACCTCTGCCTGCCGCCGCCACCTGCCTTCTGCCACCCACCGCCCTTGCCTGCGCCTGCAGCCTGCTGCCCGCCGGCATCCGTGGCCATCGGCCTGCCACCGCCGTCTGCTGCCGCAGCCTGGCTCCACCGGGCCCAGCTACCTAACACCGAGAATGCATGCCAACGCTGCCTGCCTACCCCCACCGCTGCCGGCACTGCTGGCCTAACGCTGCCACCTGCCAATCGCCACAGCTGCCGCCTCCCTAATGCTGCTGTCTGCCACCTGCCTGCCCCCGCCGCCTGCCTGCTGCCGCCGCCTGCTATATCCTTGCACCACCCGCGGCCCTTACCTGCCGTGGCCTGCCTGCCAGCCGCTGCTTACTGCAGCCTGCACCTGCTACCTCTTACCTGCCACCACCGCCTGCCTACTGCTGGTGCCTGCAGGCCGCTGCCCCCACTGCCTGCCTCCGCTGCAGCCTGCCTCCTCCTGCCACCTTCCCCCGCCACCTGCCTCCGCTGTCTCCCGTGGCTTCCTGCCACTGCCGCCTGACACCGCTGCCGCCGCTTCCTGTTGCCGCCTGCCTGCCGCTTGCCGGGGCTTGCCTGCCTGCCGCCCCAGCTGCCTGCGTCCCACCGCTTCCTGCCGCCGCCGCCTGCTACCTCCTCGCACCGCGCGCCTCCCTTGCCTGTGGCTGCCTGACTGCCAGCCACTGCTTACCACAGCCTGCCCGTGCTGTCGCCTGCTGCCACTGCCGCCTGCCTTCGCTTCCTGCCGGGGCTGCCTGCTACTACCTACCACCACCGCCTGTCTGCCAACCCTGCCTGCCGCCACCCAGCATCCTTGCCTGTGTCCCCCTGCCTCCGCCTGCCTGCCCGCACCCCCTGCCGCCGCTTACCGCTGCCTACCGGCGCCACCTGCCACCACCACCACCACCTGCCTACCGCGGCCGCCTGCAGCCCGCTGCTGACGTTGCCTGCCACCGCCTGCCTGCCCCCACTGCCCGCTGCCTGCCACGGTCCGCTGCCGCTTCCTTACCACCGCCGCCTGCTGCCGCTTACCACTGCCCGCCACCGCAGCCCGCCACCACCGCATGCCTACTACTGCCGCCTCCCAACAGCTGCAATTCCCGCCTTCCTAACACTGCTGCCTGCGGCCACCACCTGTCCCCGCCACCTGCCTGCCACTGCTTGTTGCCACCACCGCCTGTTGCCATCTGCGGCTACTGCCACCAGCCTCCGCTGCCTAACCTCGAAGATGCCTGCCAACGTTGCCTGCCTACCGCCGCCACCTGCTGCCGCTGCCCCCCGCAGCCCGCTTGCTCCCACCGCCTGCCGCTGCCGCCTGACGCTGCTGCCGTCTGCTGCCCTCACTGCCTGCCGCCGTTGCGGCCCGCCTCCCCCTGCCACCTGCCCCTGCCGCCTGCCGCCGCTTTCTGCAATCGCTTATGGCCGGCTACGACTGTCAGCCGCCACTTCCTGCCTGGCCCCTGCTGCCTGCAGCCCGCCACGGCCTGCTGCTGCTTACCTACCACCGCCGCCTACCCCCGCCTGCTGCCACTTACCACTACCCGCCACGGCAGCCCACCGCCACCACATGCCTACCGCTGCCGCCTACCTAACGCTGCTGCCTGGCCCTGCCACCTGCCGCCGCTTCCTCCCGCCGCTTACCACTGCCTGCCCCCGTCTGCCACCTTTGCCGCCTCCGCCCCCTGCCTGCCCCTAGCCGGGGTCTGCCGGCCGCCACTACCTGCCCCCACCACCTACCCGCCCCCGCTTCCTGCCGCCACTGCCTGTTGCCGCCTGCGGCTACTGCCTACCCCCAGTGCTGCAGCCTGCCTGCAACTGTCTGCCACCTGCCTGCCGCAGCCTGCCTGCCCCCGCCCCCTGCCGCCGCCGCCGCTTGCTACCTCCTTCCACCGCCCGCCGCCCTTGCCTGCCTGCCGCCGCCGCCTGCCTGCCTGCCGCTTCTTACCCAAGCCCGCCACCGCTTACTGCCGCCCCCTGCCTCCACTGCCGCCCCCTGCCTCCACTGCCTCCACCGCCTCCCGCTGCCACATACTGACCCCACTTACCCGGCACCTACCGCTGCCGCCGCCCGCTGCTGATACTCCTGCTGCTGCCTCTGCTGCCCGGAGCTTCCGCTGCTGCCCAACGCTGAAGCCGACTGACGCCAGCACTACTGCTGACGCCGCTGATGCCGCTGACGCCCCTGAGGCCACTGACGCCGCAGACGCCGCCGCGTAACTCGCAGACGCCCGCCTGCGCTTCCGGCGCCCCTCCCCACGCTGACCGACGCTGCCGCCGCTGACCCGCCTGCTGCTGACCCCGCCCCTATTGGGGCGCCTGCTTCCCCCGCCGGTGACTCCGGCTGAAGCCAATGGCACCTGCTGCTGAGGCTGCCACACACTGCCGCCCAATGACCCTGGGCTGCCCAAAGCTGGCGCCCCTGCAGCCCTTGCCGCCCCTGCAGCCGCTGCAGCCATAGACGTCACCCGCTGGTGCTGTCACCGCCGCCACCTCTGCTGTTGCCCGCTGCCACCTGTCACCGACTGCCACCACCTCCCTGCCGCTGCCTGCCACCGCCGCCTGCCACCGCCTGCCTGCTGCCGCCACCAGGCAGTACTACCACTGCCGTCTGCCACTGCCGCCCCCTGCTGCCGCTTACCTCTGCCTGCCGCCGCCACCTGCCTTCTGCCACCCACCGCACCGCCCTTGCCTGCGCCCGCCGCCTGCTGCCCGCCGTCATCCGTGGCCGCCTGCCTGCCTCCGCATCCTGCCGCCGCCTGCCGCCGCCGTCTGCTGCCGCAATGACATTTTACAAAATGCTGGAACAAACAATCCTAAAATTTGTATGGAATCAGAAAAGACCCCGAATCGCCAAGGAGATGTTGAAAAAGAAAAACAAAGCTGGGGGCATCACGTTGCCGGATTTCAAGCTCTATTACAAAGCAGTGATCACCAAGACAGCATGGTACTGGCACAAAAACAGACATATAGACCAGTGGAACAGAATAGAGAACCCAGATATGGACCCTCAACTCTATAGTCAAATAATCTTTGACAAAGCAGGAAAAAGCATGCAATGGAAAAAGACAGTCTCTTCAATAAATGCTGCTGGGAAAATTGGACAGCCGCAGGCAGAATGAAACTCAACCATTCTCTAACACCATTGACAAAGATAAACTCAAAGTGGATGAAAGACCTCAATGTGAGACAGGAATCCATCAAAATCCTCGAGGAGAACATAGGCAGTGACCTCTTTGACATTGGCCACAGCAACTTCTTTCAAGATACATCTCCAAAAGCTAGTGAAACAAAAGCAAAAATGAACTTTTGGGACTTCATCAGGATAAAAAGCTTCTGCACAGCAAAGGAAACAGTCAACAAAACAAAGAGGCAACCCACAGAATGGGAGAAGATATTTGCAAATGACGTTACAGATAAAGGACTGGTATCCAAAATCTATAAAGAACTTCTCAAACTCAACACCCAAAAAACAAATAATCAAGTCAAAAAGTGGGCAGAAGAGATGAAAAGACACGTCTCTGAAGAAGACATACAAATGGCTAAGAGACACATGAAATAATGTTCATCATCATTAGCCATCCGGGAAATCCAAATCAAAACCGCATTGAGATACCACCTTACACCAGTTAGAATGGCCAAAATGGACAGGGAAAGAAATAACAAATGTTGGAGAGGTTGTGGAGAAAAGGGAACCCTCTTACCCTGTTGGTGGGAATGCAAGTTGGTACAGCCACTTTGGAAAACAGTGTGGAGGTGCCTCAAAAATTTTAAAATAGAGCTACCCTATGACCCAGCAATTGCACTACTGGGTATTTACCCCAAAGATACAGATGTAGTGAAAAGAAGGGCCATATGCACCCCAATGTTCATAGCAGCAATGTCCACAATAGCCAAACTGTGGAAAGAGCCGAGATGCCCTTCAACAGATGAATGGATAAAGAAGATGTGGTCCATATATACAATGGAATATTACTCAGCCATCAGAAAAGATGAATACCCAACTTTTACATCAACATGGATGGGACTGCAGGAGATTCTGCTAAGTGAAATAAGTCAAGCATAGAAAGACAATTATCGGGGGGCGGAGCAAGATGGCGGAGGAGTAGGAGCCCTGGATTTCGTCTCCTCTCAGGAATTCAGCTGGATAGGGATCAAACCATTCTGAACACCAACAAACTCAACAGGAGATTGAAGAAAAGAAGAGCAACAACTCTCTCATCAGAAAAGCGACCACTTTCTGGAAGGTAGGACGTGCGGAGAAGTGAATCCGAGGCGATATTCGGGAGGATAGACGGCGGGGGAGGGGCCTCCGTCGGCCGCTTCTGGCAAGTGATAGAACCACGGAGCACAAAATCGGAAGTTTTGAAAGTCTGCTCCGCTGAGGGACGTCACTCTGGTGGCTAAGCGGAGGGTGGAACCCTCCGGGACAGTGTGGTCTCAGGACCTTCGGGGTCACAGAAAGACCGGGGGTGCCTGAGTGTGGCAGAGCTCCCAGGTAACGGAGCAGGGAAGCCGGCTGCAGAGGCGGCGGCCAGGCGTGGGCTCTCAGCTCGGGGTGGCCATAAACCGTGATCCACAGCACAGTCGGGCCACTGCTCCTCCAGCAGGGACCCAACAAGCGGCCGATCCGGGGAGACTCACCTTCCTCCCCCGGGAGGAGGTGCGCGGGAGTGCACCGCAGGGATCTGCTGGGTTTGGAGACTCCACCCGGGGTCGGGTGCCAGAGATAGAGGTGCGCGGATGCAGGCCGGGTGAGCACGGAGTGCGGCCGGAGACCAGGGAGACAGGAGTGACTGACGGCTTTTCTCTGGGGGCGCACTGAGAAGCGGGCCCGAGTTCTCGGATCCTCCAGGGTGGAGATTGGGAGGCCGCCATTTTCACTCTCCGCCTCCAAAGCTGTTCGGAAAGCTCGCAGGGAACAAAAGCCCCGGAGAGCAACCCCGAGCAGATTACTTAGCTGGGAGGGGGCAAGGGCGGGGCAATTCCGCCTCCGGCAGAGACATTTGGGAACCACGGCAACAGGCCCCTCCCCAGATCAGGGAGAACAGCCGGCCAAGACCAAGTTTACCGATCAATGAGAACGGCAGAACTCCAGCGCTAGGGGAATACTGCACATAGAATTCACGGCTTTTTTACCATGATTCTTTAGTCTTGTAAAGTTAATTTTTTTTTAACTGTCTTTTTTGTCTTTTTATTTCTTTTTGAATTTTTCTTTTTCCATTTTTCAACCAACATCTTATCAATCCCTTTAAAAAAAAAAACATTTTTATTTTTCATTTTTAGAGTCATATTCTATCCCTTCATAGTAGTTACCCATATTTTTAGCTTATATATATAAGTTGTTCTCTCTTTAAAATTTTGAGATAGTTTCTTCTAACAGATTAAAATATACCCTAAATCTCTAGTATATGGTGTTTTCTATTCCCCTGCCTGATCACATCCTCTCCCTTTTTTTTTCTCTTTTTCTTTTTTCTTTTTTAAATCCTCTTCTTTCTTTTTTCAAACAACTTCTTACCAATTCCTTTTATAAAATTTTTTATAATTTCCATTTTTACAGTCATATTCCATCCCTTCATCATATCAATCCTTATTTTTGTACATATATAAGTTTTTCTTTCTTTAAAATTTTGGGAGGCACTCTCTTCTAAAAGACCAAAATACACCCCAAATCTAGTGTGTGGCACTGATCTATATACCATATAGATCATATTTGATCACATTCTGGTTTTTCTATTGTTGTTGTTGTTTTGTTTTGTTTGTTTTTGTTTTTATCTTTATCTTTTTCTTTTTTTTTTTCTTTTTCTCTTTTCTCTCTTTCCCTTTCTTATCCCACTGCTTCAGGTCTTTTCTGATTTGTTTGAAGTATATTTTCTGGGGACGTGGTTACTCTGCTAGCCTTTTGTTCTCTCATTAATCTATTATCCTCTGCACAAAATGACGAGACGGAAAAAATCACCTCAACAAAAAGAACAAGAGGTAGTAACGACTGCCAGGGACCTACTCAATACGGACATTAGTACGATGTCAGATCTAGAGTTCAGAATCATCACTTTAAAGATACTAGCTGGGCTTGAAAAAAATATGGAAGTTATTAGAGAAACCCTTTCTGGAGAAGTAAAAGAGCTAAAATCCAACCAAGTAGAAATCAAAAAGGCTATTAATGAGGTGCAAAAAAATGGGGGCGCTAAGTGCTAGAATAAATGAGGCAGAAGAGAGAATCAGTACTATAGAAGATGAAATGATGGAAAATAAAGAAGCTGAGAAAAAGAGAGATAAACAACTACTGGATCACGAGGGCAGAATTTGAGACATAAGTGATACCATAAGACGAAACAATATTAGAATAATTGGGATCCCAGAAGAAGAAGAAAGAGAGAGAGGGCCAGAAGGTATAATGGAGCAAATTATAGCAGAGAACTTCCCTAATTTGGGGAAAGAAACAGGCATGAAATCCAGGAAGCACAGAGACCCCCCTCAAAATCAATAAAAATAGGTCAACTCCCCGACATCTAATAGTAAAACTTACGAGTCTCATAGACAAAGAGAAAATCCTGAAAGCAGCTCAGGAGAAGAGATATGTAACCTACAAGGGTAGAAACATTAGATTGGCAACAGACCTATCCACAGAGACGTGGCAGGCCAGAAAGGACTGGCAGGATATATTCAGAGCACTAAATGAGAAAAATATGCAGCCAA